TTGCTATTAACATCTTGCATTCATTGCATTACTTACAGTTTCAGTAGCTTTCAAAGAAAACATTTGAGCTTTTACATTAATTTGTAAAGTATACATAAGTAATGCAAATAGTTTGAAATTATTTTAGCTTTACGTTGTATCTCTGAATCATGGACATCATACCTGGCGCAACCAGTAATTGCAGATACTAAGCCATTTTTAAATTTATAATTTTTTTCTGAGATGCCCTTTTTAGTTTGCAATGTTTAGAAACAAAAGGTAACTTTATACACCTAACATCAGTATCTTAAGTCTCTTTGTCCCGTATATAATTAATGGAATTAGGATGTAAGTCCTATTAAGATGGTTTTATTGTATTTTTATATATTGTATGCTTTCCCTTTTTATTTGAACTACATTGAGACTGAATTTTTGACTGAAGTTGAATGGCATTTGTCTTAATCCTGCCCAGTTATTGACCAAATCATATCTAGATGTTTGTATGTTTTAATTTTACTTATCCGAGCCATTTCGGTTTGTTGCCTTATTCTATCTGTTGCATTGTTCTTGTCACGTCTAAGCTTAGTCATGTTGGAATTCTTTTAACACTGAATCTGTGATGTAAAAATGTATGATGTACTACAAATTTTATTCATAATTAACTTATAGCCTATTGTAACCTATAAAACATTTCTTGTAAATTGTCCAGTTTATTTTTTGATTTATGTATTTTCTTATGTAAATTTTTAAAACACTTGTTGTGGCCTGTTCTATAAACATTCCTGTGCTCTTCTTAATGCTTATTTGCATGAAAGAAACTTAGGTTTTGCTTGTTTATATTGGATGGCCATTAAGCCACCTTCGGTACTCTCTGCCTTCTTTCCTGTAGTTAACTTTTTCTAGTTTTATTCATATTCTAAATAAATGTTAAAATCACTCTTTTTATTTCCTACTTTCCAAATAAATTCTCTAAGTTGTTTAATATGTGTATCTTTTTATTATTTCAGTTTATATATTGTACTCCCACATTTTCACTCTGATTAAAGTTGTAATTGAAATTACCTATAATAGAATGTAAACTCCGAGAGCAAGGACATGGCACAGTCTTACCTCTATCCCCAGTAGTTGGCACAGAGAAGGCATTCAGTAAATAAATACTTGCTGAGTGAATTCATTGTAGAGAAAGTGTCCTTATCTAGTCTGCCTCTATAAGATAGAATTAGTTTTTCCCCACCTTCCTCTTCCATCATTAGAAAGCATATTCTGGTAGGACTTTATTAAAATGTTTAAACTTAACTTTTTCTCAAAATGAGGCCATGTTACCCTACACCAGGAATCAATGTCAACAGAGGGGTTTTTCCAAACTCTTGGATATGCTCCACAGGAGATGCCAGAACTTTGTGGTACTTTGGACGTGTTACTTCATACATATTTCCTCTATACCAAAACTTCATTTACTTATTTTTAATAGACAATGACTGTTAGCTTTGTTTAAAGAAAAAGGAAAAGATGATCTTAATATGTAAGGAATTATTTTGGAAAGTTTGTCTCTATTTTCAAATTGAATGATTGTTGATTCCAGGCATATAGGAATGGTTGACAACATGAAGACTACCAATATGACTCCGGGAAGTACATAGCCTTTCCGTTTAAGGGGGAAAAAAAATCCGCTGGGATGCCTGGGTGGTGCAGTCATTTAAGTGGTTAAGTGTCAGACTCTTGGTTTCAGCTCAGGGTTGTAAGATCAAGCCCTGCATTGGGCTCCTCATTGAGCACTGAGTCTATTTGAGATTCTCTCTCCCTGTCCCTCCCCGCCCTTCTCTCTCTCTCTGAAATAATTAAACCTTTAAAAAAAGGAAAAATCCAGTAAATAGAAACTAGGATGAAAAAAGTGTGAGATGGTGACTGGGGGGGGGAAGATGTGTTTGGTGTGGAAATAAAGATTTGAGGTGTAGTTTAGCTCCAAGGATAGAAGTACCACAAGCAATTGGAAATAAGCCACTGAAGAGCAAAAGTAGTTCAAGGCTACACACATAAGTGAGTAAGTGCTTCATTCAAAATTCACTTAATTCTAGCAGGGAAAGAGTTCATATTGGATTCTATACACAGAGCTTACACATTTTGAAAGCAAGATGCCTCCTTTTTGTTGACATGTTCCTCAAGGGTATTGTGTATTGAGCAAACAATGTTTCTGCATCCAAAGTGTTGATCACTTCCTATTTTTTTTTAAGATTTTCAAACTATTTTTAAGTAATCCCTACACCCAACATGGGGCTCAAGCTCACAAACCCAAGACCAAGACCAAGAATCACATTCTACCAACCCAGCCAGCCAGATACTTCCTATTATAAAAGCTTTGTTTATGTTAAGATATTCCTACGCTTCTGGGTTTTGAGGTTTTTTGGGGTATTTTTAAGATTTTATTTGACAGGGGACACAAGCAGGGGGAGTGTGAGAGGAAGAAGCAGGCTTCTCCCTGAGCAAGAACCCCAATGTGGGGCTTGATCCCAGCACCCTGGGATTATGACCTAAGCTGAAGGCAGATGCTTAATGATTGAGCTACCCAGGAGCCCCTGAGGGGTTTTTCTAAGATTTTTTTTTTTCTTTTTTTTTGGACAGAGACACCGCGAGAGAGCAGGAACACAAGTATGGGGAGTGGCAGAGGGAGAAGCAGGCTCCCCGCTGAGCAGGTAGCCCGATGCGGGGCTCGATCCCAGGACCCCAGGATCATGACCTGAGCCAAAGGCAGATGCTTAACGACTGAGCCACTCAGGCGCCCCATCCTTGAGGGTTTTTTTAAAAAGTTCTGCTTTAGACTCTTCTCTCAAACTTGGAAAACCTAACTCATCTCTGGGGCTCTACCTCGTCTACATAAAAAACTGGTCTTTTTATTCTGGAAATAGTAATAAAGATTATGGAAACCATGATGGCATGTTCTTTTGGAGTGAAGAGCCCAATTTGCTCATTTTTCTCTAGCAAGAGTTTGGAGTCAGTTACCCCTGATTTCTTGGGGTGGGGGAAGAAATGTTGACATCATTCAGAAAACTCAAGGCTCTCAACTTGAAAAAAATTAAGTGAATATAATGTAGGATTTGACTTGTTTTGTTTCTGTTGTTTTTAAATATCCTAAGAGTTGAAATTTAAAAATCCCGATACCTTATGTTTTCAGATTTCCAGAACATTTTTTCAGGTTTTCAGGACAACTAATACTTCAAAAAGTGATTTCAGTACATTTGTAACTACTATATTGGCTTTTGTTTATTTTTGGTTTTGGTTTGGGACTTTTTTTTTTTTTTTAAAGTAGGCTCCATGCCCAGCATAGAACCCAATGCAGGGCTTGAACTCATGACCAGGAGATCAAGACCTGATATGAGATCAAGAGTCAGACACTTAACCAACTGAACCACTGAGTGCCCCTGGGACCTGTTTTTTTAAAATCCACTTATTGGGGGCACCTGGGTGGCTCAGTTGGTTAAGCAACTGCCTTTGGCTCAGGTCATGATCCTGGAGTCCCAGGATCAAGTCCCACATCGGGCTCCCTGCTCAGCAGGGAGTCTGCTTCCCCTTCTGACCCTCTTCCCTCTCATGTGCTCTCTATCTCTCATTCTCTCTCTCTCAAATAAATAAAATCTTAAAAAAATCCACTTACTGGGGCACCTGGGTGGCTCAGTCATTAAGAATCTGCCTTCGGCTCAGGTCATGATCCCCAGGGTCCTGGGATCAAGCCCCGCATCGGGCTCCCTGCTCAGCGGGAGGCCTGCTTCTCCCTCTCCCACTCCCCCTGCTTGTGTTCCCTCTCTCACTGTCTCTCTCTGTCAAATAAATAAAATCTTTAAAAAATAAATAAAATCCACTTATTGAAGTATAGTTCTAGTACAGTAGTTAATTGTATATTTAAGTACGCTTGATAAATTTATGCACTCACGTGACTACCACTCTCAAGATACTTCCATCATTCCAAACAGTTCCCTTGGCATCCCATCTTAGTCCCTTCCCATCCTCATCCCATGGCAACTGATACATGCTCTATGATAGGAGATTCAATTTATCTTTTCTAGAGTTTTCGGATAAGTGGGCTCATATGATATTAACCCTTTTTTTCACCTCCTAATACCCCATCCCTTCCTACTTCAGGCTTTCTAGGGTTGTGATCTGCTTTCTGTCTACAGATTTACCTATAATATGTACTCAAATCTGACTGCTTTCCTCAGCATGTTTTTTGAAATTAATGTATGTTGTATCAGAAAAAGTTCATTCCTTTTTACTGCTGAGTAATATTTCATTGGATGGATATACCACAATTTCTCCATTCACTTGTACAGTTATGTACAAGCCTTTGGATGGACATATTTTTTCTTTGGGTTAAATAGGAGTGGAATTGCTTGTGTAACTATGTTATTTCTATAAGAAACTGGAAAATTTTCCAAAATTTCCATTTTTATATTCCCACTAGCAATATGAGAGTTCCACTTACTCTGCATCTTTGTCAATACTAAGTGTTGGTTTTTTAATTTTCGCCATTCTTCTGTATGTCCTGGTATCTACTATGATTTTAATTTGCACATCCTTAATTACTGATAACAATGAGCATCTTTTCTGAAGCTCACTGGTCTTTATGTTTTTGTAAAGACTGACCAAATCTTACCCTTTCTTAATTGTCTTACTGAGTTACAAGAGTTCTTTTTTAAGATTTTATTTATTTATTTGAGAGAGAGCACATGATGGGGGAGGGTCAGAGGGAGAAGCAGACTCCCTGCTCAGCAGGGAGCCCAATGTGGGACTAGATCCTGGGACTCCAGGTTCATGACCTGAGCCGAAGGCAGTTGCTTAACCAACTGAGCCACCCAGGCACCCACAAGAGTTCTTTAGTCCAGTTAGAAGCACTTTGTTGGATATATGCTTGGATATTTTCTCCAAGTTTGTGGCTTGTCTTTTTATTTTCTTAGATTATTTTGAAAAGTAGAGTTCTTTATTTTGTTGATCCATTTCTCATTTTTTTCCTTTATGGTTCCCACTCCTAGGTCCTAAGAAATCTTGGCCTACCCAACATCTTGAATATTTTCTGCTGGTTTATTCTAGGCATTTTGTGTAGTTTTTATATTTAGATCTATGGATCCATGAGGTAAGAGTTGAAGGGGTGTGTCTTTGGGGGTCTTAAGCATATGGGTATCTAGTTGTGTCAGCATCGTGTGTCAAAAAGACTTGTTTTGTGATTGTGTGAGTCCTGGGATTGGAGGGAGATAGCAATTACAAAGCATCAGGAGGAAAACTGTGGGAGTGACGGATATGTTCATTATTGTCATTGTGATGATGGTTCCACAGGTGTGTACCTATGTCAAAGCTCATCATATTGTTTATTTTAAATTTGTGGTTTATTGTACATAGATTATACCCCAATAAAGCCTTTTTTAAAAAGACACAGAATGGGCGCCTGGGTGGCTCAGTTGGTTAAGCGACTGCCTTCGGCTCAGGTCATGATCCTGGAGTCCCGGGATCGAGACCCACATCGGGCTCCCTGCTCGGCAGGGAGTCTGCTTCTCCCTCTGACCCTCTTCCCTCTCGTGCTTTCTATCTCTCATTCTCTCTCTCTCCCAAATAAATAAATAAAATCTTAAAAAAAAAAAAGACACAGAATAACTGTTCACATTTGTGTCAACGCACCCAGTTCTTTCTCCTGATCCTTTTTTTTTTCCTCCTTATTCTGATTATGAAATTTATGGTTCAACCAATTCTAGACATGTAAGAAAACTGTATTACTAACATTCTGGTTTTTTCTTGGGTTCCTTTCCATAATGCTACTTTAGTCTGAAATCTTCCCAATGCTGTAAAGAAAGGAAGGCTCTCTTGAATTCAAGAGTCTTACCTCAATGAAACTGGGCAAAAAATTAAAATAAATATAAATATTTATATTAAAATAAAATTTAAATTAAAATAAAATAAATAAATACTCTTCATCTAAGAGTAAACTTCAAATTATAGATGACCTAGTATCTCTCACACACCAGTAGCCAGTTACCAGCCAAGTTTGGGCATAGAGAATCCATGAGTTAGAATCTCACAGACTGCTGATTCAAACCCAGGATTTTACAGGGAGTTATAAAGCTCAGAGAAGTCAATTGTACTGTCCCAGGTCACACAGCAGGTTATTAACAGGACTGAAATTCAACTCTAGCTTTTCTCAACCCATTCAGTGTTGTTTTACTTTTTCTTTTTTTTTTTTTTTAACCCTCTCCCTGTTGGGCAAGTAGCATATAAGAACAGAATGTTATTCAAATTAAAAAGAATTAGGTTAGACCATCCAAGAAAGATAGGACAATCAATATAGAAAAATCAGAACAACTAGAGTACAAAAGAAAAACCAAAGAAAAAGTATCTTCATAAACACAATAAATATAAGTGTACTGAATTTGCCAATTACAGGGGTAGTCTGGGTTTAAAAGGAGAAAAACATCTATATGTTTTATAATATAGAATGTTAACTAAAGTAAAAGGTGGGAGAGGCAGAATAACCATTTTACAGAATAACCATTTTACAAAAATAAAGCAAAAACAACCCAATACCCAGTGCAATACATTAAGGAAGGATCTCACCAGATAGATACTTCTCTAGAAGTGAAAAAGCATATCGATGAGCATTCTTCACAGGGCAGATCTCCAGGGCAGGAGGTACCCAATCTGGGGCCCCACATCAGGTACCCCAGCCCCTAGGATCTGTACCAGAGAGACAAGCCCCCAGAACATCTGGCTTAGAAAGCTAACAGAAAAAAAATAATAATTAAAAGGGGGGGGGCACCTGCCTGGCACACTCCGTAGAACATGTGACTCTTGATCTTGGGATTGTTAAATTCGAGCCCCACATTGGGTGTAGAGATTACTTAAAAATGAAATCATTAAAAAAAAAAAAAAAGAAAGAAAAGAGAACCAACAGGGCTGAGCTGATGTCCAGGTATCCCAAAGTGCTCTGGAAACAGGTTCATCTCCTGGACGGTTCATATTGAGTCTCACTAACCCCAAGACTCAGCAAAAAAAAAAAAAAAGAAAAAAAAAAGAAAAGAAAAAGAAAAAAAAAGTTGGAAAAATGGCTAGCAGCAACCCCCAAACATAAGGACTACCACAAGCACCAAAGCTCTTCCTCAGGAGTGAGGGATTCAAGACCCAAACTGGGTTTCTCCTGCCTGGAGATCTGCCCTGGAAAGAGCTGGCTTTGAAACCTGGTAGGGCTTAACTGCAGGGGCCTTGAGTATCAGTGCGGGTTTAACTCCGGGAGAGCCAGAGGCTATAGGTTACTAAAACTCTGCTCTTAAAGGGCCCATGCACAATCTCACTCACTCTGAGGTCTACAAGAGAGCAGTTTGAAAAGCACCTGGGCCATACATATAGATCTATTGACTAATTTTAGGGTGCATGCCAGAGGGGCAGAGATTTGTAAGAACTTTCTCTGGGAACAGAAGTGCTGCTGGGCACCATTTTTCTTGACCTTTTTCAGCCTAGCTGGCCCAATGTTGGCAGGCAAAGTTCTGACACTCTCCAACTACATTGCTAGCACCATTCAACACACCCTGGTATCCCCCTGTGGACCTACCACACTCAATCCACTAATCCAGACAGATGTCCCTCCAAAGCAGTTCCTGCTCTGCTCCACCAATAGACAGCCTCTACTGGGACCAGCACCCCTCCAAAGCGATACCTGCCCTGGGTAGGAAGGGAGGCAGCCCTGTCCACCAGCCGGCACATAATTGTTGCTGTCAGGCCCCCCAGCACTGCTGGCTAGTGCTGGCACATAATTGTTGCTAGTCAGGCCCACCTACCAACAGCCCCACAATAGTCACCTCCCAGTCATAACAGGAGTGTGCACAATGCCCACAAACAGAATACATCCACAGGAGCATCTGGTTCTGGTAACTAGAGGGAAATGTGCTTCTGGGCACACAGAATACCACTACCTTCAAGACCAGGAGAGGAAGTTGATCTACTAATACATAGAAAAACAGAGAACCAGACAAAATGAGGAAACAGAGGAATATGTCCCAAGTGAAACAACAAGACAAAACCTCATAAAAAGAACTAAACAATGAAGATAAACAATCTACCTGATAAGCAACTCAAAGTAATGGTCATAAAAATGGTCAGTGAATTTAGGAGAAGAGTAAAACTCAGGGAGAACTTCAACAAAGAGATAGAAAATACAGCCCCACATCGGGCTCCTTGCTCAGCAGCAAGCCTGCTTCTCCCTCTCCCTCTGCCTGCTGTTCCCCCTGCTTGTGCTTGTGTGCTCTCTCTCTCTCTCTCTCAAATAAATAAATAAAATCTAAAAAAAAAAAAACAAAAACCAAAGTGATTATCAACTTAAACAGACTACTGTGTAAATAGTCCCATACACATGGGATGTTGTATATGAACCTCATTGTAACCACAAAACAAAAACCTAAAACAGAAGCACAAAAAATAAAAATAAATCCCAGCATAACACCAGAGAAAGTCAACAAATCACAAGGGAAGAGAACAAAAGAAGAAAGGAACAGAGAATTACAAGAACAACCAGAAACCAATTAACAAAATGGTAACAAATAAATACCTATCAATACTTACTTTAAGCTCTCTCCTCCAGCCGTCCAAGATGCTGAAAGGAAAGAAGCCTTAGCGGAGACGTCCCCAGCTCCAGCTGTTGTGGAGAAGCAGGAGGCCAAGACTGTGGCCAACCCCCTGTTTGAGAAAAGTCCCAAGAATTTTGGCATCAATCAGGACATCCAACCCAAAAGGGACCTCACCCATTTTGTCAAGTGGCCCTACTACATCCAGCTGCAGTGGCTAAGGGCTATTGCCTATAAACATCTAAAAGTGCCTCCTGCTCATCATGAGCAGGTGGGATTTATTCCAGGGATGCAAAAATGGTTCAATAGCCACAAATCAATCATGATATACCACATTAACAAAATGAAAGATGAAAATCATAGAGTCATCTCAATAGACACGAAACGCATTTGACAAAATTCAACTTCCATTCATGATAAAAACTCTCAATAAAGTGGGTATAGAAGGAATACACCTCAACATAATAAAGGCCATAAATGACAAGCCCGCAGATAATACCATATTCAATGATGAAAAACTGAAATCTTTTCCTCTAAGATCAGAAACAAGAAAAGGATACACACTTGTACCACTTTTATTCAACATAGAACTGGAAGTCCTAACCACAGCAATCAGACAACAAAAAGAAATAAAAGGCATCCAAATTGGTAAGGAAGGGGGCGCCTGGGTGGCTCAGTCATTAAGCGTCTGCCTTCGGCTCAGGTCATGATCCCAGGGTCCTGGGATTGAATCCTGCATCGGGCTCCCTGCTCTGCAGGAAGCCTGCTTCTCCCTCTCCCACTCCCCTTGTTTGTGTTCCCTCTCTTGCTGTGTCTCTCTCTGTCAAATAAATAAATAAAATCTTTTAAAAAAAGTCTATACTACCCAAAACAATCTACACATTTAATGTGATCTCTACCAAAATACCACCAGCATTTTTCACAGAACTAGAACAATACTAAAATTTGTATGGAGCCACAAAAGACCCCTAACTAATAGCCAAAGCCATCTTGAAAAAGAAAAGCAAAGCTGGAGGCATCACAATTCCAGACTTCAAGCTAATTACAAAGCTGTAGTAATTAAAGCAGTATGGTACTGGCACAAAAACAGACACATAGATCAATGGAACAGAATAGAAAATCCAGAAATAAACCTACAATTATATGGTCAATGAATCTTTGACAAAGCAGGAAAGAATATCCAATGGGAAAAAGAATGTATCTTCAACAAATGGTGTTGGGAAATCTGGACAGCAACTTGCAAACGAATGTAACTGAACCACTTTCTTACACCATACACAAAAATAAATTCAAAATAGATTAAAGAACTAAATGTGATACCTGAAACCATAAAAATCCTAGAAGAGAACATAGGCAGTAACCTCTTTGACATCAGCCATAGCAAAATCTTTCTAGGTAGGTCTCCTGAGTTGAGGGAAACAAAAGCAAAAATGAACTATTGGGACTACATCAAAATAAAAAGCTTCTGTACAATGAAGGAAGCAATCAACAAAACTAAAAGGCAGCCTACTGAGGGGTGCCTAGGTGGCTCAGTTGGTTGAGCCTCCAGCTCTTGATACTGGCTCAGTCATGATCTCAGGGTTGTAGGATCAGCCCCATGTCAGGCTCTGCTCTTAGCAGGGAGTCTGCTTCTCTCCCATTCCCTCTCTCTCTGCCCCTCCTCCAGCTCTCTGTCTCTCTCTCTAAAAATAAATAAATCTTTAAAAAAAAAAAGGCAACCTACTGAATTGGAGAAGATATTTGCAAATGACATACCTGATAAAGGGTTAGTATCCAAAATATATAAATATCTTACACAACTCAACACCAAAAAGC